GCAACACCGAGGGTTGCGATCCCGTTGCCGGTTCCCAGTCCGGTACGGGGGCAACACTGAGGGTTGCGATCCGTTGCCGGACACGGAAAAAGACAAAAGACAAAAAAAAAAAAATTAGATTTCCAGTTATTGTTTTCCAAGTCAGTGGGCTGCATTTCCTTATTTTAATACATTTCTTTTTCCTGTACTTGGAAACATATATATGATTTTGTAAACTGCCTTTTTGGCTTAATATGCTGTAGTCAGCTTTCTGTGTTGATACATAGTTACCTTACCTTATTCTTTCTAATTTTGGTATGACAATATCTGGGTGTATGTATTCTCTTTGATGGACATTTAGGTCTCTAATCTTTCATTATTGTCATAAATGCATATCTTTGTGTGTGTGCATGTATACATAGACCTATGTTACATGTTTGTAAGTTTATATATTATACATGTGTGTTTGTGTATAGTGTATGTACATATATATCTTTGCTCACATTTTCAACTATTTTGTTATGATTGCATTTTTGAAATGAAATTGCTGGATCAAGGGTAGGAACACGTTTACTTTTGATAGATGTTTTAGATTGCCCTCCAGAAGGATTGTCCTAATTTATCCTCCCACCAGCATGGTATAAAGAGCCTACTCCCCTCACTTTTGCCAGCTTTGAATATTAGCACACTTTTAATCTTTGCCAATATGATAGGGAAAAACAGTACCTTTGTTTTATATTAATATGATATCTTTGATTATTAAAAAGGCTGACAATCATCTTTTCATACTTAATAAGTCCTGCTATCTTCGCTACTCCACTCTGCTTATATGAATCAGACTGTATTACACAAATGCTTATACAAATCAAGTTGAAAAGATTCCCTTCTACTCCTAGTTTGTTGAGTGTTTTTACATTGAAAAAGTGTTGGATTTTGTCATTTTCTGTGCCTACTGAGATGATCGTGTAGGTCTTTTCCTTCATTCTGTTGAAATGGTATATTACATTGGTTGTTTTTTGTATGTTGAACCACCTTGCATTCCTGGGATAAATCTCACTTGGTCAGGATGTATAGTCCTTTTAATATAATGCTTGATTTGATTTGATGATATTTGTTGAGGATTTTTACATCTATATTTACTGAGATATTGGTCTGTAGTTTTCTTTTCTTGTGACCTCTTAGTCTGACTTTAGCATCAGAGAATTCTAGCCTCACAGAATGAGTTAAGAAGAGTTTCTTCCTCTTCTATTTTTTGTAAGAATTTCAGAAGGATTGGTGCTAATTCTTCTTTAAACACTGGGTAGAATTTATCATGAAGCCATCTAGTCCTGGGCTTTTCTTTCCTGGAAGTTGTTTGATTACTGATTCAATCTCTCATTAAAGATCTACTCAAATTTTCTATTTCATCTTGAATCAGTTTTGGTAGTTTGTGTATTCCTAGGAATTTATGCATTTCATCTAGCGCTTCTGATTTGCTGGCATATAACTGTTTATAGTATTCTCTTATAATTTTTTTCTATTTCTGTAAGGCTGGTAGTAATGTCTCCACTTTCATTTCTAGTTTTAGTCATTTAAGTCTTCTGTCTTTTTTTCCTTGGTCATCCTAGTTAAAAGTTTGCTAATTTTTTATCTTTTCAAAGAACCAACTTTGAGTTCCATTAATTCTCTCAGTTGTTCTTCTGTTCACTATTTCATTTATCTATGCTTTAATCTTTATTATTTCCTTCATTCTGTTTGCTTTGGGTTTAGTTTGTTTTTGTAGTTTCTTAAGGTGGAATTTTATGTTGTTGATTCGAGACCTTTTAAATTTTTTTTCCCCCACAAACTGGACTTTTTATTTGTCACTATTGAAAGTCAATTTTAAACAGATTCTCAGACTGGTGGTTCATATCCATCAATTCATTCAACTTTAGTGCCTGTCTCATCCTCAGTAGCTTTCCCAGACCTACTGCCTTCACCATGAAGCTCCATGAGGTTTCGTAATAACTTCGTTTAGCATACATTATACGAAGTTATACGAAAAT